CAAGACATAGATTTACAAAGTTAGATACATTCATCATAGACAATGAATGGGTCCCCTGTCACAACAAAAAACCTTTGGGGTCCTATTTAATACTGTCTGGCTTGGGCCTGCCTCATGGTTCAGAGATCGCTTTGGGACCACTGAGTCTTACTGCACATATGGACCTTCCCCAGCCTCTCTGAAAGCTCAGTGGGGGGTGGGAACCCACCATGTAGATTTAAGCTAATGACATGATAATTAGCCTTCAGGTTGTTCCAGGTCACCTTCTAGATTCAGTTGTACCTATTGCAGCTTGGTCTGTGGGCTAGAGAACCCTCTGCAATCTTTTGCAGTTGGCACAATAAGTTCTGATTAGCAGATTGGTAGGGTGTTACCTCCTCCCCCAGGTGTGGGCTGTCACTCAGGACAGGATTAAGGTGGGCTGGCACCAAGGTGGGAGGGCCCTTGGGAGAGCTGGAATCCTAAATATCTACCTAACAGAACTGAGACCCAGAAGGGTTAAGGGACACAGTGACACAGAGGTGGAGCTGGACCTCAAGCCCAAACCCGCCTGACTCGCAAGCACAGATGCTTTCCATGTGACAGCACTACCTCTTGGACCTATTGGGCAACCCCTACTGAAGAAAGTATGAGTAGGTAAAATAGTTTACAAAGCACACCTTTTTGAATAGCTCTGCCAAAGTGGTTTGTTTGTTTGTTTTAGACAAGAGTCCCACTATGTCACCATTGTAGAGTGCTGTAGCATCACAGCTCACAGCAACCTCAGACTCTTGGGCTTAGGCAATTCTCTTGCCTCAGCCTCCCAAGTAGCTGGGACCACAGGTGCCCGCAACAACACCCAGCTATTTTTTTGTTGCAATTGTCGTTGTTTTAGCTGGTCCAAGCCAGGGTTGAACCCACCAACTTTGGTGTATGTGGCTGGCACTGTAACCACTGTGCTATGGGCGCCCAGCCATGCCAAAGTGGTTTAAAATGTAAAAAGTTTAAATGCTTAAAGTAGTAAGCTTCAGTGGTTTGAAGGATTCCTTTATTACAAAAAAAAAAAGCTGGGCATGGTGGCTCATGGTGTAATCGCAGCACTTGGGAGGCTGAGACAGGTGGATTGCCTGAGCTCAAGAGTTCAAGACCAGCCTGAGCCAGAGTGAGACCCCCCCATCTCTAAAAATAGCCAGGTGTTGTGGCAGGCACCTGTGGTTCCAGCTACTTGGGAGGCTGAGACAAGAGAATTGCTGGAGCCCAAGTTTGAGGTTGCTGAGAGCTAAGATGCCACGGCACTCTTCTGAGGGTGTCAAAGGGAGACTCTATCTCAAAAAAACAAAACAACCACAAAAAAACCCCTATGTACACAGTGGCTCACACCTGTAATCCTAGCACTCTGGGAGGCCGAACTGGGTGGACTGCCTAAGCTCAGAAGTTTGAGACCAGCCTGAGCAAGAGTGAGACTTGCTTTAGACCCATCTCTAAAAATAGCCAGGAGTTGTGGCAGGCACATGTAGTCCCAGCTACTTGGGAGGCTGAGGCAGAGGGTTGCTTGAGCCCAAAAGTTTGAGATTGCTGTGAGCTGTGACTCCATGGCACTCTACCAAGGGCAACAAAGTAAGACCCTGTCTCAAAAAAAAGTAAAAAACAAAACAAAACCCTTGATGATTCAATAGGGACCTCAATAAATCACCCCAATATAAGTAACAGTTCTCCAACAGTGCCATCTGTGCCATGGGGGTTTACTCCTATGAAATCACCCTCTCTTCACTCTTAGTATAAATAAATTCAAAACCTGTAAAAGAATAAAGAGAGGTCATTGCATTTCCTTTCAAAGGCTAAAGGGAATATGAACTCCCTCTAGATCTCCTTTGACCTAAAAACTCATCAAGATCAGACTTGAACCATGTCTGGGGACATCAAATTCACTAGCAACAAGGTCAGAGTAGTTAAGAATTAAGCACAGTAGCTAAGAGCTTGGACAACCCTGCAGAATACAGTAGCTGTGTGACTTTAGGCAAAATGTTTAATCTCTTGATCTGAGGTGTCCTCATCTGTAGACTAAGAACAATATTAGCACCGACTTCCTGGGGCCATTGCACAGAGTCTGTGAGATGCTTTCAAGGCCTGGACAGACTAAGGGTTCAAGGATTGTCAGTTTTCTTTTTTTTTTTTTTTGAGACAGAGCCTCAAGCTGTCACCCTGGGTAGATTGCCGTGGCTTCACAGCTCACAGCAACCTCCAACTCCTGGGCTCAAGCGAGTCTTCTGACTCAGCCTCCGACCACCGGCGCCCACCACAACGCCCGGCTATTTTTTGGTTGCAGTCGTCATTGTTGTTTTGGTGGGCCCGGGCTGGATTCAAACCTGCCACCTTAGGTGTATGTGGCTGGCACCTTAGCCACTTGAGCCACAGGCGCCGAGCTGTCAGTTTTCATTATTAGTAAATACTGGTGAGAGTGATGTTGACATCCAGAAAGGCTGAGATCACCCCAGAAGGAAGACAAATCTTATGTAAATGAGCACCTCTGCTTGGCAGAACTTCCTGACTGCTTAGCAGAAACTCCTGAACAAATTCTTCCAGAGCAGGATCTGGATTCCAGATGAATTTACATCTTCAAGTCTAAGCCAAGATCTTCGGGAAGTGTTACAGTCACTCAGAGACCTTGTTTACAATGCATATTCTTTTTTTTTAAATTGAGACAGAGTCTCATTTTGTTGCTTTGGTAGAGTGCCATGGTGTCATAGTTCACAGAAACTTCAAACTCCTGGGCTCAAGCGATTCTCTTGCCTCAGCCTCCCAAGTAGCTGGGACTACAGATACCCACCACAATGTCCAGCTATTATTTTGTTTGTTTCGCTGGCCCGGGCTGGGTTCGAACACATCAGCCCCAGTGCATGTGGCAGGTGTACTAACCACTGAGCTACAGGGGCTGAGCCTACAATGCATATTCTTGGAATTCTCCCTCCAGGAATCTAGTGTAGATTTGGGTTGAGTCCTGGGACTGGGTATGTTTAATAAACACCAGGTAATTTTCTCTGGAGACTGAACTGCCCAAAACCAGGAACAGTCAGACTTGTAGAGAGAATACTTTTGGCTTTGTGAGCCAGAAGTCTCTGTTTTTAACTGCTCAACTCTGCTCTTGCGGCACACACACAGAAAAAGCCATAGATTCATAAATGAATGGGTGTGGTTGTGGTCCAATAAACTTTTATTTACAAAAATAGGTCATGGGGCTCAGACTTGGTCTGTGGGCCATAGTCCAGCAGCCCTGCTTTCTTCTATATTTAACCAGTAACGAAATAAAGACACAGAGATGCGTGTATTAAAAAGTGATTATTTCTTTAATTTAAAATTATCACCTGGAAAGAACTAGTCAGTTTAAGTGATCCAGGCTTCCTCTTTATACCCCAACAGAACAGACACAATATTGGCTCAGATTTCTAACCCCAGAGAAAAACCAAACCAAGTCACAAATCCTTGGGATATCCCTGCTTGGGCCATCGGGGCTCTCTGGGGCCATCGGGGCTCTAGGGACTGTTCTTTTCCAGCCAGTTTGAGAAGGATCTTCCTTTTGCCACCCAGGTTCCCTACTGGGCCCAATCCTTCTCCAAGTCCCTGGATCTGGCACTGTGCATGTGCCTCCACAGAGAGGTCCAAGGAACTGCAGTCACCTCCCAATTGCCTTTGGGGGTACCTTCCTGTGATCGCAATAGCAGAGCTCAGCAACTCTAAACATCTGTGCCCAGAAGGACAGCATCTTCTAGCTGAGATCTAGAGCCTCAAGTTGTAACCATCAGCCATGTGTGGCCAAGGCACCAGCAGCAAAACGGCAAACGTGGGAAACGATCTGGGGAAGATGCAAGGGTTATCAGTAATCGGTGGTGAGTCTGAAAATGAAACAGACAAATGCCACCTGGGTAAAATCCTTACAAACCATAGCAGAGAAAGTATAAAGATGAAACAGGGACAGCACCTCCTACATAACTCCAAGGCTCTGTCTGTTCCTCCTGGAGCAAGATTTCAAAGGGTCCCACTTCTTAGGTCAGCTTCGCCTCTCCTACCTCCTACATTCAGGGTCAATCATGGCTTCAGATTCACTCAGCCAGTCAGAGGGTGTCTTATGAGGCACTGAATCATGTGGCAAGGGAGAAGAGTCCAGGCTGTGATGCTCAGCAGGGCTTTTCTTTTTTTGCATTGAATTTTAGAAATGTGGAGTCAGCACAGAGAGGAAAGGAGGAAGGGCATGGCCACAGAGGTGCCCTCCTGCAGGTCCTCCCAGGAGGGGTCCTCGTACAGAATAAATACAACTAGCTTAAAGCAAACCTTCTGGAAAAAGCCAAGTAGGTCCCACCATATACCCACTGCAGTGGGACAACAAGCTTCCACACTGGTTTGCCTTCTCTAAAATTCAAAAGCTCTAGGGGAAAACCACCAAAGGGCTGCCCAAAAAAGCTGTGGAAGACCAGAGAGTGGCCAAACCGTATCTGCCACACACAGCATTCCTGCACAAGGTTGGCTGCATACTTGGTGTATTGCAGAGGCATCCCAGGACACTAACAAGGGCCTGTGCTGTACTGGGGGTGGGCTGGTGGGATGGGAGGAGAACACAGCAGTAATTAGAGTCCCCTGAGAACTGAGGCACAGTGAGGAGAAAAAGGTTGCATTTCCTCCTCAGGCTCAGTCAATGCTGCCTCCCAAGGGAGGAAGATGTTATTGCCCAACTTCCAGCACCACTGACATTATCTTACTCAAACAGATGGCACCGTGGAGGGTCAGCTCAGAACAGATCCCAGCTGTGACTTGGCTGCCAGTGACAGCCAGTTGTTCTTTACAGTTGTTCTAGACCAAGACTGGGTCATGTCACAAGCCCTGGCTCATGACAACATGTGTCCCATCACACGCACGTGTGACCCCAGCTAACCAATCTTCTGGATCTTAGCAAGGCAACTCAAGTAGTGGGAGGAAGAGAGTTGGTCTCAGGAGCCCAACAAGTTCCTTTTTCCAGTCTCCTTTTCAGAAACAGGAGACCCCTAAATGTTTGTCAGAGAGGGAGCTGTCCACGTGGCCGGCCTAAGGCCAATCACAGAACCCACTTACAAGACCACGGAAGTTTCATCCAATCACAGCAGAAGGCTGGCTCCACCTCTGCCCTCACTGGATGATGCTGTCCGGCTGCCCGTTCTGGGCCACCTGTCCAGGGTCAGAGGCAGGAGCCGGGTTGGGTGTGTTGCTCTGCAGGTAGCGGCGGAAATCTTTGATCATGGGCCGGAGGACCTGAATGAGGACACTCAGGGCTGCCTGGGTACCCTCCATGGCCTGGGCCTGGCGCTCCTGGGCACAGGCCTGCACCTCCTGGGACCTCCGGATCATCTGCAGCAAGTCATTCTGCTGCTCCAAGTGCTGGGCAATCTCCTTCACGTGCAGATTGGTGACCCGCTGCTCCTGTATCAGCTTGGCAGAGTTGAGGGCAATACGACTCTTGAGCGCTTGCGGCTTGACAGACGTGTCTGCGTGCTGGGCCATCATCTCCACAGGGGCCTCGGCTGGCAAGGGTGGGGGTGCCTCTGTAGTGCAGTACTCCACCACTCCCTCCTCCAGCGTGTGATAGGCTGTCTCGGTAGGGACTGCAGGGAAGAAAGAACAAGGGCCAAGGTGGGTCAACTTTCTGGAAGGAATGAAACTGGCTGCGTGGGGTGGGGAGAAGGCTGTCAAGCCCTGTCCTAGAGGGAGGTAAAGGGAAATTCAGGCCTCCCCTGGCTGTGTAACTATTCATGTATAAATCTAGACTCTAACAGGTTAAGAATTTTAATATACTTGGTAACCAAAGGGTCAGCCCCAGATCTGGCAAAAGCAAAGATGCTAATAATATGAGCAAGAATGTCAAACACTTTCTAATCACTGGGCACCTTGCACTCATTAACCCTAAGAATCCTTATGACACCCAGAGGTAGGTTCTGTCATCTCCATTTTCAGATATGAAGAAACAGACTGAGAAACCACAGTTAACTGCCTAAGGTCACAGAACTCATTCAGCAGAGCCAGGAAGCAAACCCAAACTCTCTCCCTAACACGAGAGCCAAAGTGCTCATAATCACCCCACTGGGCTGCTTCTAGCTAAGGCACCTTGGAGGTAGGTCTCACAGTGCTGGTATGAAGCAGGTATTTTAGGTGGGACTCCACACAAGCCTTTGCAACTGCACCAGTCCTACCTTCTTTGATGCTTTCTTGACTTCCACATACCCTCTGGCCAAGCAGAAAAGGAGGTGGGACAGCACCAACTAAAGTGCTCAGTAAACGTCTCCCTTTCTCTTTGACCATGCTGGACAATGTGATACCTATATGTCCTTCCTGTTCAGAACAGCACCTGACTTAGGCCCATGTTTAGCCCCCTTTTCCCAGCTGAATATATACTTGAGAAATATGACATTGTAGGAGGATGGCACTCACACATGCATCCAATGCCCCTAAACCCCGTTGAGAGTTACTGATTGATCCAGTTCAGTCATCACAGATAAGCAAAGGTAGCCATCACTGGTA